AACTCCAAAGTAGCGGGCACCCGAGGCAGACAGCAGGGGTCTATATACGATTGAATACATAGCCTGTTTCAATCCAGCATCATCTTAATGGCTAGCCTCTCAACCATTACTTCTGGCAAAATGCCAGGGGCCATTCCAACTGGGCTGTGGCGGGCTGTGGCTCTCAACAGTGTGGCATGTATTAGGATGCATGGGTGTGGTGGTGGGCCCTGTGTAGTCCACTGCCTTTGTGTGTGTGTGGTGGGTACCCAGGATTGAACCGGGGGTGGGGTGGGGTGGGGTGGGGTGGTGGGTGGGGCTTAACCACTGAGCAACATTCCCAGTCGTTTTTTATGTTTTATTTAGAGACAGGGTCTCACTGAGTCAATTAGGACCTTGCTAAACTGCTGAGGCTGGCTTTAAACTCGAAATCCCGGGGTTTCTTCAAGTCTTTGTGTATTCACCATTGAACTTCAGCATTCTCCCAGTCACCCACCTTGACTAAACTTTGTGGAGAAGTATGTGAGTGCTGGGTGTGGTGGTGCATGCCTGTAATCCCAGACTCAGGAAGGTGAGGCAGGAGGATCACAAGCTCAAGGTCAACCTCAACAACTCACTGAGGTCCTAAGTAGTTTAGGGAGGTCCTATTAAAAAAAAAAAAAAAAGTTTGAGGATTTAGCTTGTAGTAAGGTGGGCTTGGGTTTAGTACTGTCTGGTACTAAAAAAATGTGTTAGTGCTGGTACTCTCTGGTACTAAAAAAAATGTGTTAGTTCTGGGTGCCTCTAAATCTGCTTTTTAAAATTTTCTTAAAATTTTTTTAGTTGTTGATAGACCTTATTTATTTATATGTGGTGCTGAGAATCGAACCCAGTGCCTCACACATGCCAGGCAAGTGCACTACCGCTGAGCCACAGCCACAGCCCCTGAATCTACTATCTTTTAAACCTCAAGCCTAAGTGATGTCTTAAATAATAGCAGTAATGTTTGAGTTTTTTTTTTTTGTTGTTGTTGTTGTTGTTAAAATCTTAAATAAAAAATTGCTTTGTTGGGCTGGGGATATTGTTCAGTGGAAAGCAAGCACTTGCCTAGCATAAACAAGGCCTGGGTTCAACTCCCAGTACTGCATAAACAAACAAAAATTGCTTTCTACAGAAGAGTAACACTTGGCCAAAATAACACTTAGACTTCTAGTCAAGTAATATAATAGTCAAGCCAAAATATAACCAGACTCTGATGCCTGAGAATAACTGAGTCACTGGAGAAAAAAACCCAATGAGATAAAAAAAAAAAAAAAAAAAAAAAAAAAGCTCTTGCCTCTCATGATGTATCTTTGTGAGGGAGAGACTGGTGAGAAATTACTCCATTTTGATGGACAGTTGTGTTGGCAAAGCACTTTAATCAGCTGCACCAGGAGGGCATAAGTTATAGAACTTGTCTCATGAGGGTCATTAAGAAAATTAAATGAGTGAATGTTTTTAAAGAATTCAGAACAGTTTCTGGCATGCAGCATTTTATGAATATTTATTTGTCAAGTAAAAATAATGGGTAGAATTACAACCATATCCTGAGAAATGTGGAAATGCGCAGTGCTGAGCTATGGTTTATAAAAGAGCCATTAACATTTTATCTAGAGGTGTAGAATGTTCTGTCTTCAGATCTGTGGTGGAAACTGAGATACAGGGAGGTCTCACTCCCTCTTTTCTTCATTATCACCCAAAATAGATTTAATTTCCTTTTTAAAAGATCTGGTGTTGTTTGGTATATTTATTAGGGAAGATTCAAATAAGTTGCTCAGGAAACACTAGCAACCTACCATACTTTATTGAATTCACAGTTCATGAGGAAATAGACATTTTAGCATTCAAATAACTCATAAGAATAGGCATAACTATTTGGCATTTGACTTCTTCAGGACAAGGACTGTATCTAGGTCATTTCTGGTACCTGCACAGAGAATGTTCAATCAAGGATGAATAGTATAGAATGCCACTTCAAATTACTGCACCTTCAGGTTTCCCAGGATGTACGGACTTTGTTGCTTGTAATGCAGTCCTCTCTTCCTGGAAGTACTCCCATTTTTACTTAATCCTGAATCCACTGAATCCACTGTTAAATATGTATTTATTGACTATGTGGTATCTTACCATCACTATAATGTTCAAGGAGTGTCAAAGAGATTAGGAAGTTGGCTTCTACAGTGAGTAAGTGATTAGACTAGTTGATTAGTCTCCTCTTTCTCTCAATATCTGATTTCCTTTTTGAAAACAGGGACACTCTAGATACTTTTTTTGGAGACAGGATCTCGGTAAGTTGCTTATGGCCTTGCTAAATTGCCAAGGCTGGCCTCGAATTTTCAATTCTCCCACTTCAGCCTCCTGAGTTGGATGCTCCACCATACCTGGCCCAAAATCTGTGTTTTAAAGAATGCAATCTGCAAGTTAACAGTCCTACAAGCATGTATTAAGTCATAACTTCAGGCAAGCTGTGGAAACAAAGATGAAAAAGACTCACTTCCCAGCCCTAACATTTCTTACATATCTTCTAGTTTAAAAGGGAAGACAGAAACATACATTGGAGAAGATAGCGTTTTCAACAAATGGTGCTGGGAAAACTGAAAATCCATATGTAGAACAATGAAACTAAATCCCTCTCTCACCCTGTACCAAAATCAATTCAAAGTGGATCAAAGACCTAGGAAACACTGCAACTGCTAGAAGAAGCAGAGTCAACACTCCACTAGTGCAGGCACCAACTTCCTTAATACTCCCTAAAGCGCAAGAACTTAAACCCAGAATCAATAGAAGGTTTATTAAAAAGCTTCTGCACAGCAATGGAAACAATTAAGAGCATGAAAAGAGAGCATACAGAATACAAGAAAGTCTTTCCAGCAACTACTATTCCAACAAGGGGTTGATATCCAGAATATACAAAGAACTAAAAAACAAAAAACCAAACCAAAACAAACAAACAAAAAACCCCACACAACAAAAAAAACAAAACAAAACCCAAATAACCCAATCGAAATAGGAAAATACACTAAACATACATTTCACAAAAGAAGAAATGCAAATGACCAACAAATATATGAAAAAATGTTCAACATACTTAGCAATCAGGGTAATACAAATCAAAGCTACAGTGAAATTTCATCTCATTCCAGTTATAATGGCAATCATTATGAATACAAATATCAAATGCTGGTGAGGATGTGGGAATAAACACACATTCATGCATTGTTTGTGGGGCTGCAAATTAGTACAACCACTCTGTAAAGCAGTATGGAGATTCCTCAAAAGACTAGGAATGGAGTCACCACATGACCCAGCTATCTACTCCTTGGTATTTACCTGAAAGAACTAAAATCAGCATACTAAAGTGATACATGCATATCAATGTTTACAGCAGCACAATTCACAATAGCTAAGTTATGGAACCAGCCTAGGTGTCTGTCAACACCTGAATGGATAAAAAAAGGTTTGTATATACATAATGGAGTTTTACTCAGCCAAAAAGAAGAACAGAATTATGTCATTAGCTGGTAAATGGATGGAATCAGAGAATATTATTGCTAGATGAAATAAGGCAGACTCAGAAAGTCAAGGGTTGAATGTTTTCTCTCATACATGGAAGCAAGAAAAAAATAAGGATTTTTAAAGAAAGGGTGTGTCATGAAAATAGATGGGAGAAGAATGGCATAGAGAAAGGGGGAAGTAGGGGGATGTGAAAGGAGAGTGACTATGGAATGAAACTGACAAAATTATGCTATGTGCATGTATGAATACATTAATTCTACTTTTATGTATAAATATAATACATCAATAAAAAAATAAGTAAATAAATTAAAGACCAATAGAGTAGAGTAAGGGGACTGGGGAAGGGAGAAGATGAGAGAAGGGGTAAACACTGGAGACTGAAATGAAGCAAACAGTGTTATATGCACTTATGAATATGTCAAAATGAACTTTACTATTATGTGTAAGTCTCATGCACTAACACAAACATTTTTTAAAAAACAGCATTATAAGGGCACATAGACCAAAACTGTATTAAATCAGCATTTCTAATGATCTCTGTAACAGGCAGGGTAATGACATTATGGAAGTCATTCTGTTTTCTACTCAAGAGTTATCCAGAACCACTAGAAATTCCGTAGCAACAAAGGACAGGAAAGACTACACCAAGGCTGCTGGTAATCATCAGAAGCAATGTAATTCCCTTAGGAATGTGTCTCCAAGCAGTGAAAGTGCAAAGAACCTCACAGGGAATCTTCCAATCAGCTTCCATGGAAGCTACTTTGAATATTATACATACAAAATGAGTGACTGATGGTAACTTTCCAGGGAGCTGCTGTGAACTGAAGGTCTGCCATATGCCCATGCTGCTGGCTGGCTGCATACAGAGAACAATGACCTCATCTTCTTTATTGCCTTCCAAATTTTACATGAAGGTATGTCATAGGTACATTCCAACCTGGAACCATACGTAGAAGGACATTTTGGAAATACAATTCTTATTCTTATTCCTAGGAAGGGGTGAGAGGGATGCTAAGTTGACAACATGTACTTATACAGCTTGCACAGAGGAAACTGTTGTTTTTTTCCTCTCCATTGGTTTCTCTAATTGTATATACAGTCCTTCTAATATCTTCTTTTTTTTTTCTAATATCTTCTTGAATGAATAAATAACAGAATAAACTAGGAAAAAATGAATGCAACTCAGTATTGTATTCAATTTATTGTGGAACAGCCAGCTCTTTAACTGAGGGTGAATACTCAAACTTCACCCAAATTACTCATTTCTTAAAATTAGAATTTTTTTCTTAATTAAATCTGCTTATCTAAAGAAAACCTTCACACCAATCTATGTAAGACGGAAGACAGCCACAAATTTGGCATTCTCAAAGTAGCACATATGAGTACTAAAGGTAATACTGCAAATTAACTTATTTCTTTTAACTCTTCATTAAGTAATTCCAAGCAGTACAGCAAAACATTAAAATTCCCAGTGCTCATTCTAAGAATTAGGCATTCTTCTTTGATTTTTTCTTCTCTGCTTCTTCCTTTTCCTTTTCTATTTCAGTTACTTGTAACTCAATTTCTTTAGCACTAAACATCTGAAAAGAGAAAAAAAAATTACAGCAAATTTCAATTATGCCAATGTCTAAATATTTACAACATGAAGCAATCCCACTTTCATAATCTTATATTTTGCTTATAATTTTGCATTTTATACCTTCAAGTGTACAAAAAAATGGTTCAAAAGGTTTAAAAGCCACATATGTGTAATAATTATTGTAAAGATATTAAGATAAATTTAATTATCTTAATAATAAAAAAAAGAGAATCTGGAATTTGAAAAAAAAATAAGCAACCTAATGAGAAGAAATATTGTCAAAGATGTTAAGAAAACAAAGTGATTTTGGCAATTAATTTGCCACCAGATTTTGCAATATAAGGAAGTTTAAATTCATAAAGTTTATTTATCTGGTCAAAAATTGAAGAGGGTTTAAAAATCAGGTCTTCATGACTCTGATTTCAATTCCAGAATTCTTTTTATTTCACAATAAGATATGTGGCAGAAAGTCTATATTTGTCAATAATCTGTAAAACATATTACCTGGACATATTATATTTTATATATTTTAAATGTAATTTTCCATGATTTGAGTGCCTTTGTACTCTCAGCTAGAGAGTTCGCTGGCAAACTAGACCGAACAGAGTTTACCTAATGAACCCTATTCCAAATGCTATTTTAGCCAATAAGTCTTCTATCAAAATACTCTGAACAGTTTATTTTGTGGCTCAATGGTTTTAATCCATAATGGCTGGAAAAGGCATATAGATAATGTCAGATTTGCCACAAAAGATGTATGGAAATATTATCATGCTAGGGACTAAAATGTAAGCCTGACAGAGGTTCAAGGAGCTCCAGGTGAAATGTAGAAAAATAGATCAAAACCAGCAGACAGAGGCTGAGGACACAGCTCAGTGGTACAGCCTGTGCTTTGTGCACACAAGGCTCTGGGTGCAATCCCCAGCATGGCAAAAACACGAAACCGAAACAAACCCCCAAACCAGTACACAATCAGAAGAGGGTAGGAATTTCCTTGATATAAGGAAGGATAACATTTATGTCGGAAACCTGGAGCGCCAACAATTATATAAAAGTAGTAGCTGAATGACACTGATACATTCAGGAGATCTAAAAGACAGGAAGAGTAACTGCTTTCTTAAGCAATGAATTTACAGAGGGTACATGTTCTCTAATGGCTAGGGGGCTGGCTCAGTAAGCCTTCCTTACAGAAACACAGTAAATGGTGGAGGTAGAGATCAAGTACCTCTAAGTCTTCAAAAAGAGCCCGGGACTCATAACTGCTTGCAATGAGTATGTATAAATTAGTGCATTAGTTTACAGAAGCTAATACTATACAAAACAGAAGTCATCATGGTGTCAAAGGGTATGAAAGGATATCTGACACAATGAAGATTCATAGTTTCAACATTTTTAACTTCTCAAACTATACTACTGATATTTTTTCTTCTTTGGTTAATAACATACCTTCAAAGGTTGATTTCTTCTTATTATAGCCAGTTCAATGTTTTTTCCACCAGACTGGACAACCTAATGTAGAACAAGTATATATCAGAACTACTTCAGCTGGCTCGGGGTCTAGTTCAATGGTACAATTGTGTGCCTAACATGGGCAAGTCCCTGAGCTTGATCCCCAGCACTAAAACACACACACACACACACACACACACACACATAATCATTCAGTAAATGTGTTTAGTAAATTAAAATGGATGAGGAAAAGTAGCTAGTTTCTGAATGTGATCACTTACTTCTAGCAAAGCTCTTATTGCTAATTTAATAGCTTCGTTGTCATTTGCTATTGCATCTTCTGTGTAATTCTTTTCTAGAAATTCTCGGACAGTTTTAGCACTTCGGCCTATTGCATTTGCCTTTAAAAATAAAAAAAAAATAATTAATATCATTACAATATAAATGAATTTACGATTTTGAAGTTAGGATTTTGAAGTTTTTTATTTCTTAGTAAAAATTATGGTCTTGATAACTTAGTAAACATCTCACAAACTCATTTGGTTATTATATGAATAATCCATAATGGTGACATTACTTTTATTTGCAAATATACCAATGTTTTGTCCTGATAAATGCTTTATATTAGTTCAATGGCTCCTAAGTCCTTCATAAAAGTCTTTTTCAGTCATTAGAAAACACTGAAAAAGTTGGAACTCCAAAAGGTATGGAGAAGAAAGGAGGTATAACTTTTCAATAGGATGCAAAAGGAAGAGAGAAAAAAGACATCAATGTCAATGTGAAAAAGAAAACTATTAACATGAATAGAACCAAACAGCATTTTCTTAGACTAAATATGTACTTTGAATAAGGTGTACTGGTCACTTACTCTTTATTTCTTTGACTCTATAAGCAAGAAGGGCTTCTATCCCATTCCCTATTCTTTAGAAATTTCCCTCAGATGAAGGAAAGAGGTAAACTGATTTCCCTAGTTGCATGGCTATCGGTAGCAAATAGTGTGTTCTTTTAATTCAGATTAAATACCCAGATCAGTATGGATGAGGATGATGATAATTCATATTAACAGAGCACTTAAGAGCTAGAAATCATGCTGTTTTAAGTGGATTGTCTCATTTAACCATCATAAAAATGATTATGAACTCCAATTCTTGGATGACAAAAATGGAGGCTTGGAAAGGCTAAAATAGGATTTCTGAGCCTCAGCACTATTAGTATTTTGGCCAGATAATTTGTTGTGGGCTGTCCTGTGAGTTGTAGGATATTTAGCAGTCTTTACTAATTGGATGCCAGAGGCACTCTGTTATATATATGCAATGTCTCCCAACGTATCATATGTCCCCAATGCAGTAATGTCCAGAGGTGGGGATTTTGGGAAGTGACTGGATCACAAGGGCTCTAACCCCATCAGTGGATGAATCTATTGATGGCTGGATGGTAGGTGGGATTTGGTTGAAGTAAGCAGGTCATAGTGGGGGGTGGGGGATGGAAGGATTATCTTCTCCCAGTTTCTTCCTTTCTCTGCTTTCTGGCTGCCATGAGTTGAGCAGCATCCTCTGCCATGATATTTGTCTTACCTTAAACCCAGAGCAATGCAACTAGCCAACCTCTTCTAAGTTTGTTTGTTTGTTTTTTTTTGGTACCAACACAACATTCGATCCCAAGGGCACTTAACCACTGAGCCATATCCCCAGCCCTTTAAAAAAATTTTTTTTTTTTTTTTTGAGACAGGTTTTGCTAAATTACTCTGGCCTCACTAAATTGCTGAAGCTGGCTTGAACTTGTGGTCCTCCTGCCTCAGCCTCCTGAGCTGCTGGGATTATAGGTATGCACCACAGTGCCCAGATCTTAGTTTTTCTTATCAGATATTTTGGTCAGAGGTGAAAAACTGACTCATTCACTCCCCCACACCCCATAGAAGTTGTGACAAGCAAATGTCTTGGGACATTCTCAAATCTCTTTTTTATTTTGCTACTAGGGATTGAACCAGGTGTTTACCACTGAGCTATGTCCCCAGTGTTTTTTATTTTTTGAGACAGGGTCTTGCTAAATTTCCGAGGCTGGCCTCGAACTTGAGGTCCTCATGCTTCAGCTTCCTGAGTAGCTGGGATTTTAGGTGTATGTCACCTCACCTGGCTCAAGTAGCTTTTAAACAATCCCTGTTAACTACTGGCTCCAGTAATCTTGCCCTAAATCACATAGAACTGGGTTTTGAAACCAAGTGGTCTGAATCAACAAGTCAAGCATTTACCTCTATACTTGTCTTGCCTTACGCCCCTTTGTTATGATGATCTATAGAGGGGGAATGTCTCAGTATAATTCTTACAACAGCTCTACTGTGATCACAGGAAAGGAATCTCAAAGCAGATTTTAGGAAGTGGTCATGAAAATATATCTTTTTACTACATGAGATTACACTGCTCTGGCTAGTAGAAGATTTTTCTAGTTCACTTTTTTCTACATTATTATATTTCAGAGGATTAAAATAAGCAGCTGTAAATTTTTACATAAAATTTTGCAGCCCTGAAACTTTTCTAAGCTCACAGAGAAAGCCTGTGATTTTGGATTGTACTTGCTTCTAGGTCTTTCTATTTATTTTTGATTCTTGCAGTTCTGGGGCTTGAACCCAGGGGTGCTCTACCACTCATATATGACCCCAGTCCTTTTCATTTTTTATTTTGAGACAGGGTATTTCTAGTTTGTGATTCTCCTGCCTCAGCACTGAGTCGCTGCTGTTGCAGCTGTGTGCTCTGCACCCTGGTGCTTATAGTATTTTGTTGTTTTGTTTTTTTTGCAGCTGGTTGCTGCCCAGCAAGGAGGCACTTTAATAGTGGTTTATCCAAAAATATCACTGGGGGCTGGGGATGTGGCTCAGCGGTAGAGCGCTCGCCTAACACATGTGAGGTGCTGGGTTCAATCCTCAGCACCACATAAAAATAAAGGCATTGTGTCCAACTACAACCAAAAATATATATATATTTTTAAAAAATCACTGGGTCCTTAAGGTCACCCTGTAATTCCTGGTGGCTTTTTTGTCTACCTTCTCCAAATGCTGATGTTAAAATTCTTTAACACTTAACAGGGCAGAGAAGGTTACATCTATAATCTAAACTACTTAGGAGGCTGAGATAGGAAGACTGCAAGTTGATGGCCAGCCTGGGTAACTTAGTGAGATTTGGCCTCAAAATAAAATATAAAAAATACTAGGGATGTATCTCAGTGGTAGATGCTTCTGGGTTCAATCCCTAGTACTACGTAACAACAATAACAAAACGAACTTTAACTCTTACCTTCCAGACTGGTTTCCTAAGATCTAGCCTGTTTCTAACACTCATATCCTCTGCCCCCATCACCTACTCTAGACTGTTTCAACAAAGGCTCTGATAGTTTTGCAACGTTTTTCCTTCCTATCTGCATAGCACATGATTTTTTTAATCAAATACTAACAGTGTCAAAAAAATTTTTTTTTGAGAAGAGAGAGAGAGAGAGAATTTTTGATATTTATTTTTCAGTTTTTGGCGGACACAACATCTTTGTTTGAATGTGGTGCTGAGGATCAAACCTGGGCCGCACGCATGCCAGGCGAGCATGCTACCACTTGAGCCACATCCCCAGCCCAACAGTGTCAAATTTAATATTCATTTTTCCTTTGTGACAGACCTCTAGATAATGTGACTGCAGAAAAATGTCATTGTCTAGTGTGTGCTAATGAATAGGTAAAAAGTACAAGTATAATGGAGCTTCTGGAAATCTTTGCTGCTTGGAATTCAGACAGGTTGGCTGGAGGTCTAGCAGCCACACTGAGGGCATGGGGAAAAGAGTTAAAAAAAAAAAAGAGCAAAATGCCAGTATCTTCAAACTTCTTATTATGTGAGAAAAATCAATCCTTATGTGTTAAGTGTTGTCAGGTCTTTGTTGTTAGTTAATACCTCATTAGGGGCTGGGGTTGTGGCTCAGCGGTAGAGCACTTGCTTAGCATGTGCGAGGCCCTGGGTTCAATCCTCAACACCACATAAAAATAAATTAAAAAAAGGGTATGGTGTCCAACTACAACTGAAAAATAAATATTAGAAAAATTTTTTAAAAATAAATACCTCATTAATAACCCACTGAGCCTGATCCTGTGACATACTACCTCAAACTCCTTCAGAAATAAAAACGTTTTTCTTCTTCTTTTTTTTTTTTTTTTTGTACTGGGGATTGAACTCAGAGGCACTCAACAACTGAGCCACATCCCCAGCCCTGCTTTTGTTGAGGCTGGCTTTGAACTCATGATCCTCCTGCCTCAGCCTCTCAAGCCACTGGGATTACAGGCATGTGCCACCACACCCTGTAATTTTATTCTTGCAGCTACTGAAAACACCACCAGAAGCTCACAGCCCTTAACCCTATTTGGAAAGTTCCTAGATTAACATGAGCTGCCTTGTGTAAGGTTATGGCTCTTTCAGAGGCAGCCCTAACCAACGACTCCAACCTGGAACAACTCTGAAGAGCCACCACAGATCCAGAGCTTTCAATGGGGTCATTTGAAGTCTGTACTGAGACTGTGCCATAGGTGGCCCAACTCTTCCTTCAACCCTTCAACAGATGCTCATCCCAACAGTGCTGCAGTCTGGCTGGGCACAAAATAACCGAGCCAACACCAAAGCCTTGTAGATTCAAACAGCAACTCTTTATTCCCGAACTCTCACCGGCACTCTACACGCACGTTCTGGGAAAATACACTCCCTCCACCAGGCTCTGCGTACCAATACTCTCAGAACCCCACGGGAACTCAAGGAGCAGGCGCCTGAGGCAACAGGATCCAGCAGGATCCACCCTAAACCCGGAGCCACCCTATTCCAGCAGGATCCACCCTAAACCCGGAGCCACCCTAATCCCTGAGCAGGGTCACCTTTCAAACCAAAATGCCATGCGTCATTCCTACTTGGCTATGGCTCTCAGCACAACAGCACTTCCTAAGAAATTTCCTAAAAATAACTGCCTCTTTTTGGAGCTGGTTTTTAAGTGGAACTTAATTTGTAATAATCTTTCAAAGTCTAGAAATTACTTTTCTGTCCTGTTCTTTACTGCCTGTGTTCTCTGCCAGTGATCATGGTTCTCATGAATCACACATTGAGGAAGTCAAGGCCAGGTCCTCCTTGAGGTTGTGACTTCAGGAAGACTGAGGCAGAGATGAAGAGACTCAGTGCCAAGATGAAGAAGGAAGAGTTGTAGAAAGCATTGCTAGTGCCAGGAAGGACAGACGTGAGGACGGTACACCCGGGCATGTGTGTGCCCAGCTTTGACATGACAAGGTCCTCTGTCACTGCCCCATTCAAAGCATTCTTGATGAGGGGGTGGTAATTTCTTAAAAGTTAATTGCAATTTGGAATCTGCAACCACATGAGTGAATTTTTTTGTA